TTCCGCAGTTGAGCTATCCGCAGTGATTTGTATCCTTCAGGTACTTGCAAGGACCGCAATACTTTCAATTCCTTTATGCATCCGCAGCATCCCATTAATCTGTCCTCTTGTTCTTTCGTGACTATATAACTACCTACTCTCTGCTGACACGGTCAAAGACAATGCCATTCTTTCCCTCTCCGCTTTTACACCCCCCCCGCTGAAGATGAGCGCTCTGACGAGGAAGATCAACTTGTGGATGATGTTGAACCCGTATTTCTGGTCTCTTGTATATTGATGTGGTTGCATTACTCATTCAAACGCCTCAGGCCGACTCTTCTTGCGCTCCAGCTTCTAGTGCTCTTTCCCATTCTTCGCGTCCAAGGACCGAATCGTATACTGTAAGTAATTCATAATGCATCATGACGCTGTCCGACTTATGTCTCGCAGGGCACAGAAAGTTCAAGTAGCTTGGTGCACGTACCACGTATGATGTGCCACGTACCCTTGCGAAGTCGCATGATGCCCAACGGATTTTTGAGTAACCCAACCGCTCAGGAATTCATGGACAGCGTTTTTCTTCCCAGGGTTGACTATTTTGGTTTGGTCCTGGATAGGATCGCTCGCGCTATCTGTCGACGTCTTCATCCGCACAATTTCAGCCTCGTAGACCTTGGTAAAGTGTACGGTCTGAATCACAACCCGATTCGCAAGGCCGTGCTGAACGCGTACAACCCTCTCGACGCGGACCCTTTCTGTCTACCTGAAGATATCCTTCGCGCCTATCGCTATTTACCTCCCATTCCCCTAAAACAACCGCCTGTCAGGAGGAAGGCTGTCATTCCAACGCGACGGCGTATCTCGCAGTCGTCTACTACTCAACGGGCTACAAGAACCAGGGCTAAGGTAAAGTTTGCTTGTCCCATCTCATGCCTCAAAATCATTATGTTACGCAGCCTTCCCAACGACGCCAATTCCACCATCCCGACGCTCCCGATGGCGAAGAGCATAGCCAGGTTTGTTTCGTGATCGTCGGGGACTTCATTGCTGAAATGTTCAATCTTAGGGCAAACGACAACGGGCGGTTGAAGACGATCGTGTTGGTCGAGCACTTAAGTTTTCCAAGACGAGCACTATGCATCATCCACCCAGTCTTGTCGAGAAACATCTGCTCCCCCACGGTACAGTTCCTCCATCCAATACTGAGGACATACAGCCTCATGTCCCAATTGCGAATCCTCTTCCAAGTGACTCTGCGCCGCCTTCCCAGTTCCCCATTCATCTATGTCAGACGCCGCCACGTTGGAGCAGTTCTTGTCTAATGTGCGACTGTTCAATATAAGCCAGTGGAGCCAACGAGTGGTTCAAACCGGATTCAAATCCATGCGGGAAGTTCGAATCCTCGCACCGTATTCCAAAGACAATTTGAAGGAAACCATTGATGACTTGTTCGAGCTTCCGGAGGGTGGTATGACTAAATTGGAACGTGTTTCTCTCATGAACGCTATTGCTGATCTCGAACGGAAGAACTGACTTTGATCACCTTTAGCTTGGTTATAATGTGTAGTAGGTTGTTTAGTACTTTTGTTCAAATGATCGTCTTTTGCTCTCTTTGTATCTACGCGTGACAAAGGGTCGTCTAGTACAGCAAGAATATTTGTATCTAGCGTTGAGTAATAAACTTGTGATGTTCATGTCAAGCGGTAAAGGCGCCCAACGGCTGATGCCTCTAGACAGAACGTTAGTTCATACTCTGCCAAAGACTTTGTTGTTGAACTTACATTTTCTTCATTGAACTTACGAGCGCATTCGAACAACAAGTGTTGTATTGGTGGTAAGTAGTGCCATAGTATCATTACTAGATCAACGCAACAGCTATGATATGTATACAATGGACCGAAAAGTGGGCTCATCTCGGTCATTGTGGACATCCTCCTGCTCGAAGCCTAGACAGCCGACGCCGGATATTCTTCCCTCTTCCTGCACATGTCGACCTTCAACAAGCGAATTAGAACGAAAACACCGGGGAAGAAAGAACATACGGAGCCCGTTTCGAGATCAACCGCAGCGATGGATGGAATGCTTTGGCTTTGGCCGCTGGCGTTTTTGTTCCCGATTTGGAGGGTGCTTAGAGGAATAGAATTTCCTATCGAGTTCCAACCTTTGTCCCCGGCGTCGATCTTGTTCCGGATGCGCTGGCGCGTGTTAAGCCTGCAACGAAGTTGGATATTGTTCACGAAAGAAAAATGGTGGCGTACGTGGCTAGCATACTGTTCATGTACACTGAGGAATATGAGTATGTGGATACGAGGACGCGAGATACCACTTACGTTTGCTGCTGGGAGCCAGGCCGAGGAAAAACCAAAACGTGTCGGGCAGCACCAAGAACTTGAAAAGGATATCAGAAATGCGCGGTTATTCATTCAATAGTGGACTCGATACCAGAACCATTGTGGCAAAGGAAGACAATGCAGTGAGGGTGCCGCGGTTGATGGCGTCGTAGACGAGCGCGTCGACCATGTTATTTGTTCTGCGCGGGTGTAAAGAAAAAGTCAACCAACGAGAACAATTGAACTTACTTCATCATCTCCCCCTTTTGGTTTTTCAAGAATAAACAAAGGTAAGTGGTGATGAGGACGTCGCACGCCAGGGATGCCGCCGATTGAATGGTTGTGACGGCCTGTAACAACATTCAGCCAAATCTTGCAGCCGGGGGGACGCGAACCTTGGTCTGGTCCAGCTTGAGGTACGACCGGATCTGATAACTGAGATAATGTGTCAGCGACAGTCAGGAAAAGGAATACAGAACGATGTACGTCCAAGCAACCTGTGTAATTCCCGCCACTATGAATTTGATGACGTTGGCAGGCTTTCGGTGGGAAAAGTTCAGAGGGCTTACAGATTTCGATAAAGGCCAACGCCAGCTGCAATATGTTAGCGACATGCGAATTAGTAGATGGACAGCGAGCGACGCACGATTACATATATCCCGAAGGCTTTGACGCTTAATTTTCCGCGACCCTTAGTTACTAGTATAATGTAATTAAACATAGGGCGCTAACAAATAGAAAAGATGTACTTACATTTGATGATTCGGTTGGCGAAGAATCTGGGTTCGAGCAGGTCAGTGGTATGGCGACGGAGATTCGATGAAAAGGAATACAGTTGCACGACAAAAGCAGACAGATACTGGGACGAAGATTAAGCAAGGCGGGGATAAACAAGTGGTTGGACGTACTGCGCAGAGCAATTGCAACTGTGAGAAAATAATAGTGTTCAGGTTGGGTGTCTGCAACGATAAGAGAAGACATACGGAATCGGCCCTGAAGTAATCATTCTTTAAAATACTGCGAGGGTATGAAGAGTGTCACTGTACTTACCAGACGAGGTTCGTTTGAGGTTTCCCGAATAATTTGACGAAACGAGAGTACGACGACACCGAAAAAAAGATCACTTGGACGGTTTCCAACACGCTAGGAGATGGCAATATGAGTGAGGCCAGGGAGAAAAGGCCACTAACTCCAAGGATTAAACCGCTGCCGACCTTGTTGATGAGGGTGTGGGTGAGACCACAGATGGCCATGACGAGGTCGCGCATGTGCTTCGCATAGGCGTCGCGAGTGACACCGCCGAGACTAGTACGCGGGACACGCGCCTTGGGCGCGAATAAGAGTGTGTCGCCGACAGACAGATGGGGGAAGTGAATATCGATATCGACGTTGTAGATGACCTCGCCGCGGAATTCCTTGTGCATGGTTTCTTCAGGGATTCTCTGGTACTGGCGGAGGTGGAATCGACGGTGAAGCCATGGGTCTGGCCTGGAAAGCGAGTTAGTTTATACAAGGCTATCGGAGACGGCACTGACCAGGAATGGTCTTGAGGAATGTCGAGCGACCGCTACAATGCTCGTTAGAATCGGGAACTGATTGGACGCTTGGCCACCTTCACCTTCCGGGACGTCCGAGAACAATGAGCATTCTGCAGACTTGACTACTCCATCAAAATCGCGCAAGTTTTCTGCATTGGCGCGTTCATTTTTTTCAAAAATACGCAGCAGGGAACCACATAGGAATCTTGCGCTTGCGAGAGCCCCTGCTCAACGCTCTTTTGATGCCGTAATGCGTAGGCGATCCCTCGCCATGAAGCGGAACGAATACCAGCTGTTCGCTAATACAAGTTGGTCTCGAGGGAAAACGGGAAGAAAACATAACAACATACGGGGAAATTCTCCAAACCGCAGGAGGAGATGCTGATGGCAAACTTGAGCCGAAGTTTATGGTCGAATTTACCGGACTGTGAGTCGAGCCTTTCATCGTCGGCCGCGCCCTGGAGTGAATTGATGATAATAGAGGGAATCTAGGAGCACCAAAAGCTCATCTGGATATCAATCAGTGGTCGGTTTGAACGTGCGAGATAAGACTTACATCAGTGGACGCAAGTTGAAATGCGATAAGTCGGTAAGAATACCAAGCATCGGGTATATGGGCGCAACACCAGCTCCAGGAACGACGAAACCGACAGGCGTTCGGTTCGCTACTTCCTAAATACTGCTGCAACGCAACCTAGTTTTGGTGCTCAGTTGTCTGTAAAGCCCAGGCACCACAGAAAGATCATTCGACTCTTGAGGGTGGGTTTTTGCAAGGTCAAGAAGCGGTGCGTAGATCTGCGTAGATTCGGGGAAAATATAAGCGAGAATGCGGCTGGTTTTGCGTGAGCGTGGTCCAAGCTTGATCCATGCTGAGTGATGATGATCCATCCATAGCGGGGAAGTATCTTTCGAAACCAAATCCCTTTAGGGAAATTTTTGAAACGGCTGCTGCTCATGCCTCGCCGCAGAATCTTCTTCGTCTACATATTGTGTTTGTGATTTACCGAACTGAGTGATGTGATCATTGTACTTACTGCTCAAATAAGTCCGTTCAGAAGGAATCAAAACAGAGACCATCTGGTCCGTTGAGATACAGACGGATGTTTATCAAGAATTGGGCTTCTGTGGTAAGGGAAAAAAAGAGATTTAAAAATGCCGCCTACAGGTTTCGAACCTGTGCCTTTGCAGGAATAATTTCTCAAATACCCCATGAATCCGCAACGATTTAACCACTGATCCAAAGCGGCGCACAGAATTAGGGCAAATGACAAGCTATGCATCTCGTCTCTTTCTAGGCGAGCACTCCCGGCTGGCTTAAGGTCCTCGTTACCGAACGGTCGTCGCGCCCCAAGCACGACATCTGTCCTCGCTTTCTCGAAGGGGCATCTTCCTCCTGAAGAGCCGATTAGAATTATCGCGCAGGTAGTTGTTGTTAATGTTTTCGGGCGAGATCTCCAAGACAGCGAGCACGCGGTGGTTTGGCGGCTTCAGTGTGTGGTTGGTAGGCGTCAAACGTGGCCTTTGCCCAAGGCGCGGTTGTCGGAATGTGGATGGCGAGGTTCACGTACACGGAGTCGGTGCGGGACTTTTGGGGTATGGCTTGCTCAACGCGTCGCAGTCCGGGTAGAACAGTGTGGGTACGTTGCCTTTCTTGAAGATGTGCGAGGCTCGGCCGGAAAGAACCGCCCGATATATATGAACGAATGCAGCTCTGTGAGAAGGATTTGTTGACGATCGGAAGCGTCGTCTGGAAGGAGCTGGTCGTAAGAATCGACCGTCTAAATATGCTGCAAAACACACTCGCCGTTCAATACGAGGCGAATCATACGATGAAAGGCCAGGCAGTGCCTCCGACAAGGGATTTATCAGCGCGCTGTTTCTGTTTTGACTGGAGAAGGTTTGCGATTTTTCTTTGATTGCGAGAGTAGCACTGCTTCCGCGACCCGAATCGAGCGTCTCGCGTCTCGCGTCTGGATTGGATGAACGTGCTTGTACCATACCGGGAGCCCGTACTTCATGCGAGAATCCACTCTCGACTGAAACAGCTGGCGCACGTACGCATGCGGGAGTCCGAAGGTTGGGAGAAGATGCGTGATAAGGCGAGCGTTGCCTTCGTGCCCCGGTTCTGGGGTGGCTTAACGCGACGCGTGCCGTGATGGCTCGTGTCAGCGTTGCTCTCCTGAGTGTGAGCACGGAAGCGATGACATAGGGGCGAAGCGGCCACGCAGCCCTTCCCGTTTTGGCGTACGCTGCGACAACTGAGTAGGGGTCCGGCAAAGTGACGGGAAGAAGACGGAACTACTCCGAAGGTGAAGATGACCCGCAACGAATTCTTTTCAAGTCTTCTTGTGCAAGTCGGAGATGGCGTTGTGGTCTGGATGCTTGGTGGTTGGGTAAGTAACATGCTCGTCAACGAAACAAGTGGAAAGGTGTTCGCCGGGAAGGCATGCGTTGAGCTCCATCGTGGCGATACCATTATAGATCCAGGGATGACCTTCTGGGTGACCCTGAATGTTTGTTGGTAAGTGACACTTGTGCTCTACGAGACTCTATTGGGTCTGCCTATCATGCCGACGAGGAGCGCGCCGTTGGCGTTGGCTCTGGCAGTGGACCTATGGACGGCGGTCAGGTTGGTGGGAGCGACGTGTCGATTTTTTCTGCTGTAGCAGGTTGCTCTAGTTGCACAGCGACTGCCTTAGTCGGGGCAGGGAGAAATATTCCTAGCGTTGTCTGGTGCATTGTGAGCACGATGGCGAGTAGGACGCCAGGCAGACACTTGTCGATGGAAACCGCCTCCCGTCACCGGGCCCGTTCATGGTAGCCAATTGGGAAAGCGATCGAACTTCATCACAGTTGACAGCGAACTGTTCGTTCCAAGTGCCGGTTTGGGGGGGGTTCCGCTGGACGATATTGTCGGCATGAGCAATGAAGGAAGTGCCTTGAGAGTTTGGGCAGCCGCAGATTGGGTGAATGGGCAAGACTAGTGGTATTCAGCCAAAGTTCGCTAGGGCAGGGATCGTGAATGAGTTCCATTCAAACGAGCGCTTGAAATTGCTTGAGTATACGGTACGGTCGCAGACGTAGAATCACACTTGCTGTTACCGCATCATGATAATCATGATGATTATAGTTTGTCGGTCCGTAGGTAATCGTCGAGCGCGTTGTACAACCAATATTAATGTGACTTGGCTTCAGATGGAATCTGGGGACTAATGGTCCGTTTATAATATTAAATAATTATCTCACAAAGTTAATTGTTCATGCCTGGCTAGCCCGGTGGGGATCGGGCATGCTGGGGTATGCCCGGGTCTGCTGGGGTCTGCTCGCCCGTTCCCAGCATATCCTGGCATATGCCAGCATTTATTTGAGACTTTTGAGCTGCTGAGATATGTTGTGAACGACTCATATTTGTTTTGATATGCTGGTATCTGCTGCATTCTGCTCTGCAATGAATTATATTCAATTTCTTCCTATTCGATACAATTGCCGTCCGTATTCTACCCGGTTCCCACCTGTTTCCAGCGTCCTGGGCTTTGTTCTCATTTGTCACAGAGGCTGCTATATGAAAAGTAAACGACCAATGCTCGAGAACTGGGAAATGGATGCGCGGAGACATACCTGAAGTGCGCGTGGCCGTCATCCGATCCTTGCGACGGCACAAAGCAGTGGCGGCGTCAATGTAGCTAGTTGCTGTATGAGTGCAGGGGCTACGATGGCAGTAAAGCGACTCACCGTATGATTGATTTTCGTCGTCGGCCCACGCAGCTCCTCATCCAGAACCTGACCGTGCTTGATTTCGCGGTCTGCGCAGATGATACCACTTTAGGAACACGGCGAGTCGGTTCATGAATCCATATTTGAGGTTAGGCTCACCTTGAGTCACTTGAATGGACGTCGATGTGGCTTGCCTCGCCGGAAACACTGCGCGCAAATTCAGATGGGCGAGGGGCCGCTCACAGATGATACAATCCATGTGTGATGGATACGATTGCGACTGCGATAGCAAGGGGCGAAGGACATTAGCTAAGACCTCGCACGTTCTATCATGGAACACCTTACAGGGAAAGAACGGCATGGCTGTTACTGACTCGAATGTTGATACTTAGGTCCGTGTGCGTGGAATTGGGTGCGAGACGAGTCTATAATGCACAATCAGACTACAGGTATGTGTGCGTCATGATAGCACCTGCCGGTCACCGTGTGAGCGCCGCACTGGCGACGGTGCAGATAAGTTGGGGAATGATGATGGATGCAGACACACACCGAGGGCATTCAGAGCGGTTTGCGTTCGTGTTCTATTTGTTCAGAAGCTCTAGGAGGGTTCTGCGCGCAAAGAATTTCGTCTTGTCGTTGGTAAGTCCTGTTGGCCGCCCACTTCTATCGGAATCGTGTTGAGACTGTGGTGATACGATAAGGAAGGATGGCAAGAGATGCTGCCAGAAATTCGGGGCGGATGGAGGGCGGAGTGCTCAAAAACAGATACTTCGTCGGCGGCGACATCGACGTCGGTGGAAGAGAGAGCGGAGTTTCAAAATTAGAAATCTGATGTAGCCCTGACCCACTAGATTGTGGGTGGCCGTTGGGTGGTCGTGAAAATTTCCCTAAAATTCTCAAGTCGACTAATTTGTGGGCATTTTAGACAATATTCATTTACTTGAATCAAATTGAATTCAAGTTTTCGCAATGAAATAAAATTGCAGCAGATCGGAGCAGATCCCAGCATTGAGACTCGATTTCAGCAGATCCGGGCATACCCCAGCATGTCCGATTTCCACTGGGCGCGCGCGCGCGTTAACGTTCAGGAGCTACTACTTGATAGAATCACGTCATCAAAAGACATTTCCCTGTCGTCAGTATCATCTAAACTTGACCCAGAACCGCTGGGGGTTGAGAATCGAGTGAATAGCCTGTGTATGCCTATTTTCATTCCGGAAGACCATGTTCGCATTAGAAGGTCACCCTGTGATTGAGAGATTAACTGTTTGCTTATAACAGGAGCGACTCGGACTACGAACCAGTTGATTGACGTTTGGGGAATCCAGATAAAATGACAGGCTTTGACTGTTGCATACGAAGGGAGCTCGAGCCGCAGCCATTTTTAAAATGCAATTAGGATCAATTTCCCATGCGGTGCGGTAGACTGCCTTGATATCGGCAGGAATGGCGTGTATTTGTTGAATGGATCCTGGGGTTTATGTCAATGACTGGATGCCAATATTATTGGTACTCAGGACGAGCCTTTCGCAGTTACGATGTCGTCGCACATGTTCATATCCCATAAGCCGATATTTGTTAGCTCTTGTACGAGCCACGGACTAATTCTGCTGCCCTCGATGATATTACTGTTAAGCGCGCACGGGTTCGCTTTAGCTCGGGTAGGTGTTTTCAAAACCGACAGCTTACCTTGGCATTGGGTCTGTTGAGGAAACGAATCCAGATGCTTTGTTCCAGCTTCCCCGGGTCCTATGGCGATGAGGGTGGCGTTTCTGACACCTGATCTTTGAATACGGTGGTTCAGTAATGCCCAGTCGTATGCATCGGATGGTTTGGCGTCCCAGAAATGGTATTGCATTATTCCTTGCGCGAGAGGTGAGCCTTGGAAGTGTTCGTATGCCCCATCTCGCTCAGCTAGTTCGCAGCTTGCTTCTAAGGCGCCGTGGTATATAGTTTCCGCAATGTTGACGTTGAGTTCCGCTGCTTCTAGAGATTCATACGGAATCTTCATCGCTACGAAGACGTCTGCCAGCCCATTTTGGCCGATGGCTATTGCCCGGAAGTCCACATTCCGATCGACCATGGTGATCAAATCGGGTAGTGAAGCATCCATGGCCTTGTTTAGGATATATACGGTCTCCTTCGTGACTTGATGAAGCCTGTTGAAATCAAACTTCGCGCCTCGTGACAGGAATAACGGAAGGTGGATGGCAGCATGTATCCGAGGATAAAGGTCGTCGTCGTCTCCCAACATATCAATGACACCAGTGCGTAGGTTGGAATAGCAGGAAGGAGGGGCGTCGGTCACATTGTTTTTTCCTAGAGATTATTATGTTTCGTGAGGGGTGGAGTTGCAGTTATGCGTACCGTTTAAGTTATCCTTAAATACGATCGCTGGCCCGCCTGTTAGGATCATGGAGCGCAGGATCATGTACCAGAGTTCTTTCGCTTTCATAGTAGTTCGTGGTGTGTTGGATTCTTCATACCGCGTGTATGCTTCGTCGAACTCTTGACCGGTTAATTTCAAGAGATC